TCAGGATACCCTTCTTTTTAAGGTTAATTAATGTTATACTTGCCAAGCATATATCACGTTTTCAGTATCCATTCATCCATAACAGACATACATGCAGTAATTGCACTTTAATTACTGCAAATAGTGCTGTGACAAACATGAGAAACCATCACTTCTCTTTGAGGTTTTGAGTTTAATTCTTTTGCATAAATATTCCAAAGAAAAATCTCAGCCACATTGTAGACATTTTTATTTTTTTGTTTCTGTGTAATTTTCCAGTGAATAATACCCCTCCCTTATAAAGGTCAAAATATTGCAGGAGGTGAAATGAAAATTTTCACATAATTCATAAAATTTAATTGGTCTTGGTGCTCAATTAAAGCATTGTCTAAGAATAATTATTTTATTTTATTTTATTTTATTTCCAAGAGAACAAAACAAGACAGAATAAAGCAAATGAGAACAGAACAATGCAAGTGATACAGGACTTTAAAACAAGAAAACAAAAAGTCAACAATGGCTACCAAAATGTCTCTCGTCTTCTTCAAAATAGCTGTCTGCACAATACAATCAAACAAAACCACAAAGAACTAAACCAATCAAACAAAAGAAAAAATTCATTGCAACATTTTAAAACATGATGAAGTCCTATAATGCTTTTGGAGCTTTTTATTTTATTTCATTTCATTTTTTTGTTTTGTTTTAAAGAGTGAAAAACAAAACAAAGAAAACAAAAATACAAGAAAAAATGTCAAATAAACAAAGATAACAAAAACCCAAAACAAAGGCTTTTAGGTTTTTAATTAAAAAAAAAACAAAATATAGGCTTTCAAAATGAGATAGTAGGAACTTAACAAAAGTTGTTATTTTGCATAATTATCTTCAAAAGAGTTACTCAGATTATCAAAGATAGACATGCAAAACTGATCTAATCCTATGGGTGCTAACCATTTTGTGCCAAGAACTAATAATTTTAAAGCAGATATTTTGTTTGCTTCTGTACTCATTCACTTATTTACTCTAGCAGTTATTTATTCCAAAAATGTCTGAAATAAAATATGCTTTGCACAGTATTACTTTAAAGGCTGCTAGTAGACAAATACAATTTTGCATTTATGCTGCTTTTAGAAGAGATAAATTAATACAAGTGAAAAGAGAAACTATTTTAAGCAAACCATCACAGTGTTACTACATGCACTGAGGAAAATCAATGAATTCTATGGAAATGCATTTTATATCCTGTAGCTTTATATTAAAAATTAGAAGTAACACTAGATATATGATGAGTGTCTTACAAATTCTACAAAAATTACTGTTGAGTCTATTTAGAGATATTTACATTTTGAATTCATATTCTGTATCATCTATTTTTCAGGAATTTATACCAATTTACATTGCTGTGTTTCTGAGGCCCACAGTTTGGAAACTAGAGTGATGAATGGCAACATTGCATTCTTTTATTACTCACTGTGATTGATTTAGTGAATCCTCACCATTCTTTGCACTTTGTTTTGTGTGATATTTTCAGGGGAGAATTGACTAATGAGTATTAGTCTTCCTTTCACGCCCTCGGGAATCAAGGCTTCACTTGGGAATTTGTTCCTCAGGATCCTGGACTTGAACCTTTAAGTCAAAGCAGTGCAGAGGGAAGATCTTTGAGTAGTGAATCTTAGCAGATCTCTCTGCACAGGTGGGTTACGTCATGTATTTTATTTACTACAAAATCTAAATGTAAGGTTTAAGTATCTGTGATTTTCTTTTCAATTTTAATTATGCACAAGATGCAATGAAATAATGCATCCTTTTATCCATGTAATCAAATATCTGTTCCTAGATTGCTGAGTGTCAAACGGTATAGTCGAATTTAAATTTTATGATGTCCTAAGTCTCTGTTGATAAAGTAAACTACGTCAATATTTCTACAGAGAACAAATAATCATTACAGAGTTGCATTTTGCCATAGCACACCCCAAAAACCTTATCTGCCTTACAGCCAACTGATGTTTTACAGGAGACTGTGCCAGATGAAAAAGACACTTTTTAAGTGCCAAGAATTGGTTTCTCTGATACCCATGTATTCTTTAGTAGATTCAGTACTTGTCCTAAATACAGTGACCCACGTCTACTGAAGTATAAGATGATTCCAAGAGTTGAGGAATTCAGCTTAGTGGTAGTGAGCTCTAGGTTTGATCTTTACAATGAAAAATACAAATACACACCAGTACAGATATGTGCATGGCAAGTTTCAGGTTAGAGACCAGTGAATATAAGCTTGAACTAAATTTAGAACTAATTTTATTGTCATTTCATTTTCCAGTTATGATAAGTTTTGCAAATGAAATCGGCCAGTATGTTTTGTTTTGTTGTACTGAAACACATACATTATCGGTCCAGGTTTTGTCTTGAAATTTTGGTCTTTAGTTTTTATAGATAAATAATGTGTACGTGTTTATGAGGTGCAACATAAAAAAACAGATGTATATAGTGTAATGATCCAATTAAGACTAATATTATTTGCATCTCTTTGAGTGTTTGTCTTTTGTTTTGATAGACAATGGACACTTAATTATTGTGAAATATGTATTAGCTTTACACTATGCAAAATTGTAATACATTGGATATTATTATTTAAAATGTGAAAGCCCTCAGTAAAACTGAGTCAGTTCAACAATTTCTGGAGTTGAAATAAGTAGCTCCAGAGTTCAAGTCAGTCTTTCTTGATGGGAGAAATGAAGTGTGAAATACACACATACCATTATACTACACATGCATGACAATTTTCAGGTTAGAAATCAGTAAAATAGGAGAGTGAAATAAACTTAATATCTAAGCATTACCTTTGTTAAAAGTTCTCTGCATTACAGTTCCCATAAATGAAGTTTATTTTGATCCACTTTTGTTCTCTAGAATGAATACCAAACACTGTGGGCTTATTATATAATTTTATATCTTTTAATTTATATTTTGGTGTTAGATACACATGAGAAATATAGGAGAACTCAGATATTTAGAAAAATCATTAAGGAAAACGAACACAGAAATGGTGCCCTGTTGTTGAGCAGGTGAAACTGAATGATATTGTAGATATTAGCAAGGAAAAGCCTGCTAAAGCTACCAGCAGGGATGCTTTAAAATACCACAGGATGAGTAACAGCAGTCAAGTTTCTTCTTTGCAGAAGAAACCTGGAGAAACTGAGAGGAGTCACCTTGGCTCATGAAGTCTGGAAGGATGGTCTCTTATATCACTACAAATATACACACATTTGTCTGGATAAGTTTGCTTATATGCACATACTTAAATATATGCTTGTGCACCAATTAGCCCATTTATTGACTAGAATCTGAGTGCCTACTTTAGTAAATACAATACTAAGGTATTGATTTAATTTGATACAAGCTTCATTAAAGAGTCTGAAAGCAAAAATTGTCAAAAAAGTAGATGGAATGAAATAAAATCTTTATATTACTATTGGCAAATCAAGACTTTTCATGCATATTTGGTGGAAGATCTATAAATATATGAGAATAGTATATACAGATAGTAAAATAAAATAAATGTATTTCATTCATGTCAATGCTGCACCCAATTTTATTTTTTAGACCAAATAATTATTGGTCTTGTCTAAAGACATTCAAACAAGTAAAAATTAAGTATATCAGGTTAATTTTACAATATCTACTACAATATGTTGATATGTTGAGTTGCAATGATATTGATCTACTAATCTAAAATTGTCTTTAAAATGATTGATATTTAGTATTAGGACTGCAGATATACACATAAAAAAGCAGAGGACTCTTTCTTTTCATTATAATTCCTAAAAAAAAAATTAAAGATCAGAATAAATTGTGAATTTTAATGAAAAAAATTTGAAAAAACTATCAGAATTATCAATCAATGTTAAACTTTTTCTAAGTATATGTTGCTTACAGATGCAAAAGCTGTTGTATATATTGTAGTTTGAAATTAACAATCAGCAAATAAGGCAGAAATAAATGTCTACCAGCCACCTTATATCTTACAGATTTCTAAACGTGCTTCTTGGTTCAGCAGTGAAAGTATGCCATTTTAAATTAGGACAAAAAAATCTTGGTTTGTCTTACAATTAGTGGCTACATTAAGATTTTAACAGGTGATACTTCCAGAAACACAGTAAGTTCTAATGGTTTTGCTACAGTAATTATTCTTAGTGGTCTGTATACACAAAAGAAATCAGTCAGTACTGAAAGAATTCATTCTAAAAGATGTCACAGACCACTCAGATCTTCAGGTCCCCTCTTAGAGCTATTTTTTATCATCTGTATAATTGCAGTGGTGGGCACCTTGGCGAGGATCATCCTCACTAAGGTAGATATCATGCTACAAACATTCATGTACTTTTTAGTAACACATCTCAATATTCTTAGTCTTGATCATGTAACAGATGTGGGATACAAAATCCTGGTGAATTTTAATGTAACTTAAATGCAATCCCTAAAGAATTTGTCACCATCATGTTCACCATTGGAGAACATTTTATACTGTCTTCAAGGACATAGGACTACTAAATGGTCACCTGCAACCCTTTGTTTTACAGGACAATCAGGCCAAGTTGCTTTTCTCACTAAAAATAACAAAAGTACATGAGGACATGAACTTGAGAACAATTTTTAGGTAGCATAACACTCCCTGAGTAAAAAAAGTCTTTCTTTGTCCTTCTCTCCAAAATGTAAGGACGTGCTAGTTTTTTATGCAAATGAAGACTTTCATGTGATTTAAATGCTGTATCCAAAGTAAATTTCTATACATTATTACAGTTTTATAAAGTAATGTTATTTTTGGAATGACATCATAACAAATGAGAAATTCTTGTGAAATTTTTGAAAGATATGTTAATTTTAAGTTATTGTAAGTTGGAAAATTTGAAACAATTTATAAGCAATATCTCTGGAGAGTGAAATTTTACCACATGATAGATAATATTGCAAAACTACTGATTATGCTTATATTTCTATCCTGAGTAGGTTTTCTGATCACCTGGATGGAGGAGCTCAACCTCACAGCGGTGACTGAGTTCATTCTGCTGGGCATCACCGATCGTCCTGAGCTGCAGGCTCCACTATTTGTGCTGTTTCTCATCGTCTACCTGACCTCACTGGTGGGAAACTTGGGCATGATTGTTCTCACCCAGGTGGACTCCAGGCTGAAAACACCCATGTACTTCTTTCTCAGACATCTGGCTCTCACTGATCTTGGTTACTCTACAGCTATTGGACCTAAAATGTTGGAAAATTTTGTAGAGGATCAAAATACAATCTCCTACTATGGATGTGCTACACAGATGGCTTTCTTTATTGTGCTTATTGCTTCTGAGCTTTTTATTCTATCTGCCATGTCCTATGACCGCTATGTGGCCATTTGTAAACCTCTACTGTACACTGTCATCATGTCACCAAGAGTATGCTGGGCACTAGTGGTGATTACTTATCTCTACTGCACATTTGTGTCTCTTCTAATTACTATAAAGATTTTCACATTGTCCTTCTCTGGATACAATGTCATTAGTCATTTCTACTGTGACAGTCTCTCCTTGTTATCTTTAGTTTGCTCAGACACACATGAAATTGAAGTGATAAACCTAATCTTTGCAGCTTTTAATTTGATTTCCTCTCTTCTGATTGTCCTCATGTCCTACCTGCTCATACTTGTAACCATACTGAAAATGAAGTCCATAGAGGGCAGGCAAAAAGCCTTCTCCACCTGTGGGTCCCACCTGACTGTGGTCACAGTGTTCTACGGGACTTTGATATTTATGTATGTGCAGCCCAATCCAAGCCATTCCAGAGACACTGATAAAGTGGCTTCCATATTTTATACCTTGGTCATCCCCATGTTGAATCCATTGATCTATAGTTTAAGAAATAAAGATGTAAAATATGTCTTGCAAAAAATGTGGGAAAGGGCCTGGTGATTTAGTTCTGACTGGCAAGTGTGAGGTCATGAGTTCAATTTCCACTACAAAAAAAAATGCAAAGACTATGAAACATCTTTTCTAAAAATGCACTGCATTGTGTTTCCTGTAAATGAAGTTTAGTTTTAAACTATTCTTTTTTTAACCCTAGAATGTAAAACAAACACATTGCACTTATTATATACTTTTATTTGTCATTTTGAGACAGGGTCTCGCTATGCAGTTTGGGCTGAACTTGGGCTCACTTTTTTGCCCAGGCTGGTCTCATACTCATAATGATCCTCCTACCTCAGCCTCCCAAGTGCTGGAATTACAGGTATGCAGCACCACACCTGGCTATTATATACTTTTATATATTTAGATTTTATACTTTTTGTATCAGATGCATTTCTATAATTGTGAGAAATAGAAACATTTCACTTATTATAAACTTAAAACAGTGTGACAATTAAAAAATTTTGTTTAAAGTCTACAGATCCTTTGGGGATGAAGCTAATTAGTGCACCCTTGGTGGATCAGGAAAATAGCTGGCACAGAAATAAAATGAGTTTTTATGAGATTTGCAAACATTATGATAAAACTTTTATCATCCATATGTGACTGTGAACTTATTTATATGTGTGCATAAGCATGATATTTCTTTTGTTAAGGTTGAAAATGATTGCATTTTCACCTGACTCCTTTAAGTGTGATAATCTGAGGGTATCATTGGTAATAATGTGCTCAAAAGTTCCCCTGGTATATTTAGACTGCTTCTTTTTCTCTTCCTGATGTGATTTTTTGTCTTCATATAAGCTTCCTATAGGTCAAAAGACCTCCACTTTTTTGTGTATTGAAGCATAGAATTTGACTTTCCCTCATTTAGTGCTTACATGTTGTAAGTTTGCACCCCTTTGAAATGCACTTCTGAAACTCTGCTGGCTCCGGGCATTCAGAGCTTTCTACCCACCTCCCCTACACTGGCTTGATCTCCATTCATTACTACACATTTTTCACTGAAGAGTGCTCACTGTTTCCTCCCTCACTAAAAAGAAAATGCTCATTGCAAAGTCGTAGCCCACCTTTGTTTACTCTTGCAACAGTGCCCAATTTATGGTGCAGTATTTAACTTTTTCTCTTTCTTGGGGATAGCATCCCTAAATCTTGTTCCTATAGTAGTGTACTGTTGTGGGAAGGGTCTTCCCATATTAGCAAATCTATTTGAAAATATGACTGGAAGAAAGCAAGCAGAAATAAGCCCTCAGTTTGAACAACTCTCTCAGGAATCAGTGTGTAGTACACTACATTGTATGTACACTTGTTGGTTCATCCGCATGGATGTCATCTGTGATGCTCTGGCATCTTCCATGTTTGCTTTTTTGTTGTATTGTTTTCACCTTACCATGATTTTATTTACATGACAGGTTTGTTGTCTTAGTGTATCAAAATTATCTGTGTAACTAAAAAGTAGGAACAAAACAATTGTGTGGAATAGTTTAATATGCATTACTACTAAATATTATATATTATAAACACAAGATATTATCAAATATTCTAAACTGATTTTTATGATGATGAAGTTTATGATGTATTATATAGAATAAATAATATTCTAATCCTAAATGTTCTGTATTCTGTAACCATAAATTTATTATGATCAAATTCTGTAATATACTATATAGAATAGAGTATATTCTAGAACCTTAAATATACATAAAATATTTCAAATTCCTAGAAAATAAATATATAGCAGGAAAAAGTGAAATGTTGATGATAACCATAAATCATAAAAATATTTACATTATTCTATTTTTAATTATATCTTCCCTAATGTAATATTCAAAACTACCTACATTATTTTAATACAAAATGATAAAAATTTGGATGTTTAAACTAGACAAAATATTTTTCAATATAGACCAATTTCACATTTTTATTATATATATTGGTATAAGTATTAGTGGTCTCTGAAGTAATAAGCCAAAAAAGAGAGAAGTATTTTGACAATTTAAAATTAGGTTAAAACTTCATTTATTCTGTTTGCCTAGATTGATAAATTATTTCAAGTAGATTGATAAATTATTTCAGAATTTACTTAAATTTATAAAGTAAATTAAATTTTAGAAAACGGAAATTGGGGTCTGACAAAGCTTCTGCTAAGGTAAGATGAGTCATAGAATTTAATATTACATAAAATAACTTTTTGGAAAGTTCAAGATAGTTTAGGGATACACAGGGTTCCTGAAACAAAGTTATCTGTAGCTGAGTTTAGTATCATTAGCAGTGACATACTGTATTTTTTTATTTAGAATATCTTAGAAAATAGTTCATACATGAAAATGACTTCAAAATATGAATTAAAAAAGATATACAGTGCCCTTCCCCATAATCACATCCATGTACTTGAATCCTTTTGTTTTGTTGAAAAAAGATTAAGAAACAACTTGAAATACTTTTCAAACCCTAGAGACAAAATATATTTCCTAAATTTTGGATAAATCTTCACTTCATGTGAAAGACAGATGAAGCAGAATGTGAATTGCACTGGGGATGAGTAACAAGGCCTGGTGACCATTTTAGGACATGACAATGAGTCTCATTAAGTTTTAGATGCTTTTCTGATTTAAAATATTAAAGCTGCACACTTTTTCATAATTCATACACTTTCTGAATCTGTAAATGTAAAAAGTTTTGTCATTGTTCACAGATGCAAAAATGGAAAGCCATTGTGGAACATGCTGAATTTTACAATTATGGGTGAAGAAATCATGCTTCCAACAGATAATACAATTAAATCATGACACTTACACAGGTAGTTAAAAGCAACAGTAAAGGAAAGCAGATGAATTGTGTATATAAAAATTCCTCAGTAGGAAAATCAAAGATACTCAGGGTAATTAAGAAATCCCAGTGTAACTATTGGTTCTTCTTTAAAGCTTTGGGAATATTCATAAAATAACATTTTAAATTCCAATGGCAAGATTCAAAATTCACAGACAATTATAAATTATTCTATATGCTTCTGGTTAGCTATCATTCAAAGGAACAGTAATTCACTTTTTATTTTAGTTAAGTAGTTGGAACTAGCCATTAAGATTATCAAATTCATTTCAATAATAATACATGATTCATTTCTCTTTAAACTACAAAATGGATAAAATTATGAAAAATAGACACAAATCTCAGACTAAATGTTTTCTATCATACTTACTAACATTTTTATTTTATAGCTACAATAATTTAATTTTAAAACTATTATCTTTATGATTTAAAAATGAGCACTGTTTCTATTCGTTATTACAATTGTACTACACTGGTATCCTAAACAATGAACATTATGAGGTCATTAAGCATGATTTGAAATTCTCATTTAAAATATGCTAATGAAGATATCATTGTTCACTTGTACAGTACAAAGACAGATTAGCTATTAAAAATTCAAATCTCAATATCCTTACATTTAGTCAGCAAAAAAACATCATTTTCTCTTCTTGGGATTTCACGTGAGGCACAGAAATTTTTGGTCTACCTTTACTAACAGACAGGAGGCTAGAATTGTCATGGTACAAATCCTCCCCAAGAGTAGCTCCTTAAGAAAGGACTCCTATGATCTTTACTTAGGAGGTAATTCAGGAAAGCAGATATACAAGAGTGGAGTATATCAGACAAAGCCAGGCTAGAGACAGAGCAATATATACCAAAGAAAATTTTATTAAGGTAAATAGTAAGAGATCACTCTTTTAATGTTTTGAGATTTATTACAAAACTCGACAGAATTACTGTAATTTAGCACAGAGAAGATCAAATATCTAGCTGGAAATTCCTTGTTTTTATTAGTAGTGTTCCTTCCATGCTAAATCTCATGCAGTTTAAAGATGTCTTCAAGCTCTTTGAAAATTTTCATCAGAAAGCAGCAAAACAGAGCAAAGTCATCACCATGTTAGAAAAAATCTTACTGTGCCTGCAGACCAGGTGAGACATGGCCTGGGTAACAAACGATGGGCAGACAGATGCTGCATTATGGCAGTATTTGCAAAGGCAGTGATGAAAGCCAGAAAGCAGCATCTCCATTCAGGCTGATACAACAATAAGGGGACGCTCTTTTCTCTGCTGTCTTTGTATTTAACTATAGTTGTTTCCATATGGATAGTGAGGCGCAAAGTTTGGAAGTATTCCTCAAATATTTTAATGTAGTAAGTCAGTGTTTACTACCAGTACATTCACAAGTTCAAGAAGAGATACTTGTGGCAAAGTTATAAACCAAAATATACAAGGTTTTTTAAATTTTTGTTTTTTGTGTTTGTGTATTTGTTTTTTTAATTCTGGTGCATCTGCCTCACTCGAAGTACAAAATAGTTGCGGGCATCACTTGCCCTCCCCTTACATGAGGTGCTCAGACAGACCTGATTTTCACTAAGGGATTTGGGAGTCCGATACCATGAACTGCATCAAACATGTAATAGTTTTGTTACGATGTGCTCCTATAACCATGGTCTTGAAGGAAATTGGAAATTTTTCCAAACTTCTTATTTGTATTAGTTCAGGTTTTCATCACATCATGATTGCATTCATCATGGGGAGTTGGTGCGGAGACATCACACATCTCAGTTCTCTTTCCTCCCTTCTCCCTCTCCTTCCCATCCCTTGGTTATGTTCCCCTTTGTAATGAAGCACAGTGTTTAAACGTTCCTCACTCTCTGCTGGGATATTCCAGTTCCTCATTCATATTGTTCTTAATATTAAGAATTTAATATTAAGAAAAGAAAGCATCATCCTGATTTGATGTGTACCTAACTTTATAAACTGTCCATATCCAAAGTGAATATTTTTGGAGGATAGGAAAAATAAACAGACAAGAATTTGTTCCTGTCTCTCCATGGTTGTCTGTAATGTGGCACAGGTATAAAAGAGCCATATAAATCTGTCCTTAAAATATTTTCAGTTCTGTAAAATCTTGCATAATGGAGTAGAATTGTCTGAATAAGTGCGGGTTTAAAATTTTATGGGTGATAAAAAATATT